GTGCTCTTGCAGGGTGACACTGGGCCTATGGAGCCGCATGAGCTACTGTCAATATTATGCGTATTAAGGAACCCTTAGCAGTGGACACAGGGATCCTGGATCCTGCTTGTAGAGTCCCAAATATAGTCCCTAAGAAGAAGCTCATGTCCATTATTTATCTTGGGAGATATATACCCAAACCTTAAACCCTAAACAATAATATCCATGTCATTTTCCATTTTCAAACCTTAAAACCCTGAATATAGATTCTAGCTCATATGAATCGCTGCAGACTTCAGGACCGCCACTCTCACCTCGGCCTTAGGCTCAGCAAACCTGAGCCTACTTGGAGGGTCATGGGGACTTAGTAAGTAGGGTAATGGAAAAGAAAATGGAAATTGCTTTATATTATCTAGTATTTTGGGTTTAGGGTTTAGGGGTAAGTAGCTTAATGGAAAAGAAAATTAATGGAAACTACTACATATTATCTAGGGTTTCGGGTTTAGGGTTTAGGGTTTAAGGGAGTTAGTAAGCAGGTTATAATTGGGATACTTGGGGTTATCATATGGCTTATAGGGGTTATGAACCTACTTACTAAGTCCCCATGACCCTCTGAGTACAGCTCCCCCAAAAAGGTGGGCGTTTTCCCAAAATCAGGGTTTAGGGGTTTAGGGTTTAGGATTTAGGGGATAAGGGGGATATATTGGATAATGGAAAAGTTTAGGGTTTAGAGCCTAGGGTTTCCTAAAATTCGGGTTCCCTTCGAAGGGGTGATGGGGTTATATGGAGGTATATAGGGCTTATATAGGGTTTAGGGTTTAGGGAAGAAGATTGAATGAAAACATCCCAAGGCGAATTGGCTCGGAGATAGTCAGTTCTGCCTAATCGGTTTAGGGCTTAGGACCCGTCCACCCAGCTCGGCATACTCACCAAAAAAAAGCGTGCGCAAGCAAAAGGACGTTGACTGTGCTGATGGCTCTTGTTAACTCATGGGTGCAAAAGCTCCAGCCTCCCCTACACAACCCCAAAGAATCCACATAACACTTTAAAAACATCGTTGAGGCTCACTGGGGAAGAGTAGAGAATAAGGAAATATATGCAGGGATTATATGAGATATATTCCTTGCTTTCCTGCTAGCCACCAATAAGTCTTGATCCAGATTGTATACCGGAAACCCTAATCATTATTAACCACTATAGGATCCCAGTTTCCACATCATTTTCCATTTTCTTTGCCACGAGATTCCCTATTATTATGGTAATATCCATATATACAAAAAACTAAACCGTAAATGTAAAAGTAGCTTCCATTTTCTTTTCCATGCCCATGTACACCCTATACAGAACCACTTACAATCCTACTATGACCCCTATATAGCCCTTATGGAAATCACCAACACCTGTCCCGCCCCTCGAGTTGGGGTCCCCATATATGATGGACCATTGCATCTGTGGGTCTGTACTGGGGCCCCCCGTAAATGGAAGCTACCAAACTGCTGATCCTATGGAGTGGGAGGAAGGCAAGCCAGTTACCTTAACACCTTGGTCCGTCAGTGCTATAGCCCAAAGAAGCTCAAGCAGCCCGTGGCATCGATTTGCATATCTGACTGAAGGCGATTTAAATACCCTATCATTGTAAGAAGCTGAGACAGAAGACCTCAGGAAACCACTAAAGCCTGGACGTCCGTGACCTGGACATCGATTACCTGGACCGCACCTTCCACAAGGACCAGAAAAGGGAGGGTTCAGCATTGTAGTCTTCACTTCAACAGGTTGTGCTGTACAAAAAATGCTCTGCAGTCAGCTTAGCTGACCTGCCAGTGGCCAGGATTGCAAACCTCACCAAAAGCAGGCAGAGATCATGAGTCTGTTCAGAACGAACCTGTTTGGTTTGCACTGCAAGGCTCCAGCCTAAATACTCGCCTTCCTCAATCCACCCTAAACCCGACATATCCGGACATCACCCCTATATAGCCCGCTATAACACCCCTTTAGAGGGACCCTTAATTTTTGGGGAATTCCAAAATTCGGCCAGGACGGCGACCACAGCTACAGCCACCACCCTCACCACGGCCACCACCAACACAGCCGCAACCCTGCTTGTGGTTCTGTAGGGTTGGAGATTCCCAGCGCGGTTTAGGGTTTAGGGTTTAGGTTTTGGGTTTGAGGGTTTAGTAACTTAGCATGTAGGGTTAGAGCGGGCCATGTTTCTTGCGAGACTGAGGACGCCGAATGGGTCACTAGCATGCAGCAGTCCAACAAATCTTGCATTAAGATGGTGAACAAAGGAAGCCTCGTGGAAGCTTTGCGCTTCCGACCCTACCCACTTAAACAAACCCGCAACCCTAAATCCTAAACCCTAAATCCTGAACCAGAACTCCTAAATCCTAAGCCTTAAAACCTATACCTTCAGTACTGCCCCCCTTCAGTAACAGTTGGATAATAATATGAATATGGGTATATATAGCCCTTAATAGGACACCTAATGTAGGCTGTTACTGTGGGGGGGGGGGGCAGTACCCAACCTAAATTCTCCCTATAAACCCTATAGTCCCAGTTTCCATTTCATTTTCCATTTGCTTTTCCATTTGATTCTCCATTATAGGGGGATAAGATTACCCCAATGGGTACCCAACCTATACCCTAAACTCAAACCCTAAACCCTAAACCCTAAACCCTAAACCCTAAACCCTAAACCCTAAACTCAAAGCCCAGGAATGGCTTTCAACCTGGACTGCCCAGGCCACCACCCTGACTTGGACGTCAGCTACCGGAACGTTCTACGTCCCACCTACGAGGAAGCGCTTTAGGGGTTTGGGGTCTAGGGCCTAGGGTTTAGGGGTTTAGGGTTCAGGGTTCTGTCCGAGTTGTAAGCAGACGTGTGGGGTTTGATCTAAAGGTTTTTGTGAGGAAATTGTAAGGGTCACATCTAGGGGAAGCGATTTTTCATAACGGCCATCTTTTGGAATGCCATATACTATCTGGATCCTGCATTTTGGGTTTGACCTGGCACCAGTGGCAGAACTTGACCAAGAGCATGGTAAGAGCCCTAAGTGTTTTCGTACAACGAGTACCAGCAACAAGTGCAACAACGACGCTGACCAAGATCTCGGGACTGGCACTGGTATTACTTCCCTGCCTGAAAGCAAGCAGGAGCAAGAAGAAGAGACGCCGTAGTAATGACAAGACATAGCAATAGCACAAACACAAGCAAGCACAATACTCATAAAAGCAAGCCCCCTCTCACTCACTAAAGATAAGCATGCCCGGTATAGTACCCATCATATAGTCGGGGAATATTTGCGAGGAGAGGGCTGGTAGTTCCATTGCTAGGGGGAGGGCATGCAGAAGTATACGCACAAACCCCTTCAGTCCTAGATTCGTTTTTTTTTTCTCAAGGACTTTTACCTCGACGACAATGACTTCAACTACAGCCGCCTCCTCAGTTGGACAGGCTTGGATTGGGTCACGGTCCTCTTTCTGGGCGCAGTGATTGTGGGTGAAAGGTGTCGTTTGAGGTGGTCAGGGGTGCTACAGTGACCGCATCTGAACAAAACTGACATTTGGATGTTCATGTATAGGAAGAACACAAAAGGTCCGCAGATTGGACATGGGGTGCAAATGATCAATATAAATGTTGTATTGCCCACTGTATAGGCAGGTCTAGCAACGGTAATCTTTGTCCATGTATCCGCAGTCGGCCTGCAACCTGGAGAGAAGGGGTCGAGCTTCACTGCTCTACATGAAGGAGTTGATGCCGCCTGAAGTTTCCTACGGCGGTGATTCTGAGTGTGACGCATGTTGACGGTTGTCACCTTGCTGCTCGTTCGTAGTGATTGCTACCTTGACTGGTGACGTCTTGTTATGATTGCTGCTGCTGCTGCCGCCGCNNGCCGCCGCCGCTGCTGCTGCTGTGGCTCATTCCTTTGTAAGTTTAATTCTTCAACCGAGGTCACAACAGCAGCAGCGCTACCCTTTTGGTTTCCCTGGCAGCAAACAGGCTGTGGGAGGGGATGGGAACCCCAAACCCTTAAACCCT